GGACTGTGGGCGGGCCTTCAACCAGAATTCATCCCTGGGTCGGCACAAGCGGACACACACTGGAGAGAAGCCATACACTTGTAGCGTGTGTGGGAAATCCTTCTCACGGACCACTTGCCTGTTCCTGCATCTGAGGACGCACACAGAGGAGAGGCCCTATGAGTGCAACCACTGTGGGAAGGGCTTCAGGCACAGCTCCTCTCTGGCCCAGCATCAGCGAAAGCATGCTGGGGAGAAGCCCTATGAGTGCCGCCAGAGGCTAATCTTTGAGCAGACACCCGCTTTAACAAAGCATGAATGGACAGAAGCCCTCGGCTGTGACCCACCTTTGAATCCAGATGAGAGAGCCCACCGGAGCGACAGGCCTTTTAAGTGTAATCACTGTGGGAAATGTTTTATTCAGAGCTCGCACCTCATCCGACACCAGATAACTCACACCAGAGAGGAGCCCCAGGGACGGAACCGGCGACGGCTTGAGCAGTCCTTTGGCCGGAGCTCACACCTTGGCCGCCATCAGCATACACACTCAAGTGAGAACCCTGGGGGCGGGACAAAGGCAGGCCAGCCTGCGAGCCGGGCACTTGCCCTGTTTGACATCCATGAAATCATGCAAGAGAAAAACCCAGTTCACGTTATTGGGGTTGAAGAGTCTTCCATGGGTGCTTCTGTGTTACTCGACATAAGAGAATCCTCATAGGAAAGAAACTCTACAGATGACTTTTGAACCACAGGTACAAAAATGTGGTAAGTCCACATAGTGCATTCATGGAAAAGGGGACTGGGGGTAGAAATGCCTAAGGTGACCTCTGATTTAAGGAAATGGTGCTTTCCAAATACCTGAGATTGATGGTTCTCAAATCTGTCAAGCTCAGTGCCCCCCGTTAACCACAGGTGTTTTGTGCTATTCCTTATATTACTCCAAAATGAATTTACAGGTAATGTAACCTACACACGTGTGTACTGTAAAAAATCAATATATGGCCCCTTTTTGTAAAGCATAATTAAAACAAAAGTAATTTATGGTAAAGTAATGTGTACTAAGTGGGTGTGGTATCTCTCCATGTGACTGTGTGGGCCATTATGCCTGGACACCTGGGGCATTGGCTATTGTCATCTGGTATATATGGGAAATAGTGTTGGCCATGGAAGTATTGTGAGGGGCGTTCCTGTATGAGATGTGATTTTCTTAAGTGGTGACTAACTCTTGCAAAAGTTTTGAACGAAACAAAATACCACTGCATTTCTGGAAAATTCTGTATAAAATTCTAAGCATGCAGGAGTTAATTTGTGTTTATATGTGAAGTTGACTTAGGCTGTCAGTTCATACATTACAAACTGGTTGTTACATACATACATACATGGTCCACAGGGGCCTGTTCTGCACTTCACAGTCATTAGAGCACACTTGGCCCCCACCCACATGTCAGCCACATTCATGTCCAGATCAAATGACAAAAAAAGCTCCCGTGAAATTCTACTACATTCCCTGGGAGTGTCACAGCTTCTACTGAAAGCCATTGCCTTGAAACGGTCAGTGTTGTTTAAACCAGAGGTTCTCAGTTGGGGTAGATTTGTCCTCCAGGAGACATTTGGTGATGTTTAGAGACATTTTTGGTTGTCATAACAGGCAGAACAGAGGGGTGCCACTTGGCAGCTAGTGGGTAGAGGATGCTGCTGAACATCCTATAATGCCCAAGACAGCCCCCTCAACAAAGAATTATCTAGCCACAAATATGCCAGGGTAGAGAAACCATACCCAGCACTACAACCAACTTTTTCCAGAAAGATTCTAAATTGATGAGGGCTATACTAACAGTCCTATAGCTTTGATTGTAACAAATGATATCATTAACTGTTTTATACACAAATGTTTCCTAGTAATTTTTTTGACCATTTTGCAGCAATCCTAATTGGTGTGAGAAAATGAAGAGAATCTACTTATTTTTGATCTAAATTTTAGCATTTTATCATGGACATTGTAAAACATGGATAAGCCCCACTTTTGACCATTCCTCCTGCCTGTCCTGTGGGGTGCAGATTTGGGAGTGTTCCACCTATCAGTGCCCTCTGGGGGGCAGTTACCTCTGGACACCCAGCGGTAACTTCATGGTTCTAGACAGCTCTAGAAGCCAGGCTTACAGCTGCCCCTTTCCCTCCACCTCAGCCCCAAAATGGCAGCTTCTGAAGGATCTTGTTTCCACAGTCTCAGTATTTCCTGGGTGGGCTGAGGTTACAGTGGCCTCAGTGGGTAAGCTGGGAACAAGCTCATCACTTGGCTTCCTCTCTAGACAACAGAGATCTTTATAAATTTTCTTTTTCTCATTTCAGGTCATGTTTTCTAGGCATAATATTCCTGCTCGTTTCCTTATAGATATTTTGAAACAGTCAGATAAACCCCTCAGGGGAGGTTACTATTAACTACAGAATACATGGTTTTATCAGTTTATAAAAGTAATGTAAATTCTTTACTGCAAATGTGGAAAATGCACAGAAGTAAAATTTAATTCCTCATACATCTATTTAGAGATGGTCACTACCATTAAGATTTTGTTAATTTTCCTGTAATTTTTCTTAAAAATATACATGTATACATATGGTGTACACTAGATGTTATACACACACACAAATATATTTATAGTATTGTTGTGTTTAGAAAATGGGAACTTTCTAGTTCTCTTGTAATACATGCTTCTTACTATATTTTGAGCATCTTCCTCTGACAATTTCATGTAGCTTTTTAAATTACCTTTCAGGAGGATTGTAGCAGTGTGACCACCTAGCATTTTATCAGCCTTGACTTTTATCCAAAAGGGTGGTGGGGGGGGGGAAGGTTTCCTACACATTTCCAAGGGGAGTATAAATGGATACGGCCTCTGTGAAGGACGATTTATTAGTTGCTATCCAAGATTTGAAACACACAACTCTTTGTCTCAGTAAACCTGTTGCTGGGAGTGAATGCAACAGATTTATTTGTATGTTGTAGACTGTTTGTACATGGTCTCACTATGGTATTGCTTTCAGAAGTAAAAATTTGTAAACAACCTCAATGTCCACCATGGGGAACTTGGCTGGAGATTTACGGTGGAGTGGAGAACTACACAGCTTTAAAAAATGGGGACTGTCTTTATGTAATAATATGGGAAAGAGCTCCAAGATAATTGTTAAGTGAAGAGGTATAAAACAGTGTGTAAAGTATGTTTCTATTTGTGTAAAAAAACATTGGTTTATACACGCATAACACACACACTCCTAAGGGTACAAAGTAACCAGGCATACTAGTTGCTCTTGGGGAGGAGAACTGGGGGGAGAGGGATGAGGAATAATTTTCACTCTATATCTTTTGATATTTTTAGAACTTTGAAACATGTAAAAGTATTACCAGTTCATAAAATAAATTTTAAATTAAAAATCTCAACTGTTGCAAATTAAAGTAAGTTTGATCATTGGCTTCATTTTCTGTTGCACCTACACACACACACTAAATTCTTAGCCACACTAAGCTACAAACTAACTCAATGCACACATATCTGAGCATTGAGTTAATGGAACCAGTTAAGTGTAAAATAGCTTTGACTCCATGAATTTTTCTGCAAGCTATAAACTAGCACATACATTTTAGCACATAAATTTTCAAGTTATTTTATTAAATTCCCTGTATCCAGCCCAAATTATGAGAGCCCACACATGAGTGAGCCAAGTTGCCCATTCAGTATCTCCTTGTACATCTTCAGAGATATTCAAGTCGTTTGTGCAAACGGTAATTAGGAAGAAATCTGCATCCAGTCTGAAGAAGTCTCCTATAGGTCTCTTGTAAGGAGATCCAAGGTGAACATCTTCCAGATGTTCTAAGTTGTCCAACGTTGGTAGTCACTAACCACATGTAGCTATTTAAATGTAATTTTAAATTCACCCAAAATTAAAATAAAAATTGAGGGGCGCCTGGGTGGCTCAGTCGTTAAGCGTCTGCCTTCGGCTCAGGTCATGATCCCGGGGTCCTGGGATCGAGCCCCACATCGGGCTCCCTGCTCCACGGGGAGCCTGCTTCTCCCTCTGCCACTCCCCCTGCTGTGTTCCTTCTCTCACTGGGTCTCTATCAAATAAAATCTTTAAAAAATAATAAAATAAAAATTGACTTCCTCCATCACATCAACCACATTTCAACTGCTCACTGGTTACACACAGAACATCCCTCTCATCTCTAGAAAGTTGTTTTACACAAAGCTGGTCGAAGGTAAGTGGCAGAGAGGATTTTTTTAAATCTCCCCTTGTGATCAACTGACTAGTGAGAAGAGCAGAGGCCAGCCTGCGCGTCAGGAGTCAGCGGAGTGCAGTGCGTGGTTTTTTTATTTGGGCTTGAATAAAAGATGAAAACAAAGAGGTACGTACGACGTCATTGGGAGAAATGGGCATATAGCCTACGGAGTAGGTAATCGTGGGTTTCAGTGTCGTTTCTCGGGTAGGCGGAAGAATGTACTGGTTCTTCGAGGACATCTGCTGAAACGTTACAGGAGAACAGGGTTCGGGGGAGAAAATTCCCCAAACTATAGAGACACGTATGGATGTACGTGTGTGCGAAAAGAAAAAGACGCTGTGTGTGTACATAGCCCACGCGAGTCGATATGCGTCCGGTCCCCCACGCCCGCGGCGCAGAGCAGCCCCGTTCCCACGGCGCCGTGTCCGCGCCGTCGCCCTGTGGACTTCATTTCCCAGAAGACCCTTCATCCTGCGCCCGGCCGGTTCCGGGCGCGCAGCGGGCAGGGCCCTCTGGGAGATAAAGTCCCGAACTCAGCGTTCGGGCCATCGGCGGAAGTGCGGACCGGAAGTGCCTTCGGCGAGTGTGCGCACCTCGGCGGCTGGCGGCGCCGCCCCGCTCTGTGAGGGGTCGGCGCTGTGGTGAGTCTGCGGTTCCGGCCTCAGGGCTTCTGTGAGTGTGAGGGACGGCGAGGCCCGTGTGTGCATGCGGTGGTAGTGACTGAGTGGCCGGGTGGGGCCCGGAGGGCAGCGCGGACCCGGGGATGGGTCGCGGGGGCGGGGAGAAAGGAGGGACCGTGGGCGCGTGCGCGTGCCGAAGGACGAGAAGGAGAGATCTGGGCGTGCCCGTGGGACCTCAGCTGTGTGTGGCCGAACGTGACACGCACGTGTGCGTGTCAGAGAGGAGGGGTGTTTTGCAGGTGAGGTACCACCTGCGTGTGCATATGAGACCTCAGCTGTGTGGGGACCCAGTGCGTCGGCGTTTGTGTGCGCAGGTGTACCTCAGGTGTGTGCATGTGGCCGAGTGTGTCCCCACGTGTGCGTTTCGGAGGGAAAGGGTGTCTTGCTGGCGAGACACCACTTGTGTGTGCGGCAGTGCTTCTGTGTGCAGATGTGACCTCAGGTATGTGCATTTGCCTGGATGTGTTACCACTTGTGCATGTCCCAGGGAAAGAGTGTATTGCACGTTTGGCACCATTTGTGTGTGCAGATGAGACCTCAGGTGCGTGTGAGTGGTCAGGTGTGTCGCCGTGCGTGTTTGTGGGGAAGGGATGTTTTGTGTGTGTGACACCCCTTTGTGTCTGGAGGTGTGACCTCAGGTGTGTACCTATGGCCTGTACCCTTTAGCCATCACTCCCATTTCCCTTTCCTCCAGCCCCTGGCAACCGTTAATCTACTTTCCGTTGATTAATCTCTGTCTGTTCTGGACATGCGATATAAATGGGATCATACAACAGGTGGCTTTTTTGTGTCTGGCTTCTTTCATTGAGCATAATGTTTTTAAAGTCCATGTTGTGCCATGTATCAGTGCTTCACTCATTTTTATAGCTGAATAATAATCCATTGTGTGGCTATACCACAGTTTGTTTACCCAGATAATGCTACTGTGAACACTCACATACAGGTTTTTGTGTGGACATGTGTTTTCAGTTTGGAGGGAGGAGGTAGTTGGGTCTGTCCCAGGGAAGCTCATGTGTATGGTCACACCTGCTCCTGTTGCCTTTGCTCATCCAGCAGTATTTCATTTTCCAGAATCCCGGCCCTGAGCCCCGAAGTGAAAGCCAGGAGCCTGACCGCTGTATGGGAGTAGATGGGAGGAGGCAGTGGCTCTGGGAACTGGAACCCTTCCCTGCAAGACTCACCCACAACCTGGGATCTCTGTCTGGGACTGAGACCACATGCCCCCTATCCTGTAGCTGCTGAGGTCAAACAGCCCAAAGACAGAGCAGAGTGGCAGGCGATGGAGCCTGAGGAGCCAGGTGAGGCACGTGTCAGGGTGGTGGTCATAGGGCTGGACATTTTCAGAAACCAGATTTTCCTCAGAACAGGCCCTGCTCCTGCTGCCTTCACTCTAGTGCGCTGCCATCCTCAGCCTAGTCCAGACTACCACCTCTTCACAGGTCTCCGGCCTCCCCTTCCTCCCACCATTGCTCTCCACACCGCACCGGAGGGGTCTTTAAACCCTGAACGGTGAGGCTACCTCTCCCTTCAACCTTCCATCCCTGCCCTGGTTGTCACATCGGGGTTGGCACACTCTTCCTGTAAAGCACCAGGTAGCAAATGTTTTCAGCTTTGTAGGCCAAGAGGCAAAACCAAAGATGTCAGGTAGGTACTTACCTAACAAGAGAGAAAACACATACCCACATATTTTTTCCCCCGGTGAAATCCAGAACTTTATCCAACGCTGAAATCTGAAGTTCATGTAACATTAATCTTCTGATGATTTTTCCCTCCCAACCACTGAAAAATGGAGAAACTCTTCTTAGCTCACAGTCTGTACAGAAATAGGCAGTGGGGCTGAGTTTGCTGACCCCTGATGTGACCAAATCCACACTTCTTCCCATGTCTTCTGGGCCCTGCATGACCTGATTTCTGCCTGTTTCCAGGCCTCACCCTACAGCTTTCCCTTTGCCCATCCCCCTGGCCACTGAATAGCATTGAAGCTTAGATATTACCTCAGAGGCCCTCCCTGGCCACCTGATTCAAAACAGGTGCCACACACATCTACATTATGTTTTTTAGCACTTAGCCACATTCGAAGACTGTATACTTGTTCCCATTTATCATAGACTGTGAGTGTCATGATGTGGTGCACAGTCCATGGAGTATTTCTTAAATGAATGAGTGAACAGACACCCTTCTGCAAAAAGTACTATTACCCGGTTGTACAGATAGAAAACCCAGGCTTTAGGTGAATTGAGCAACCCAGGGTCACTCAGCAGAGAGTGGTAAGGTGGATTTGATCCTAGGTCTGACAGACTCCACTTACCCCTCACATTCACTGTTTCCACCCTAGGAATGACACTGGGAAGAAGGTATGGGCACTTGGTACATCGGGGCCCCAGGGATCAGCTTGCCACTCTTGCCCCTGTGGGGAGGGGCAAAAAGCCCCACAGCAGCCCTTCATTCCTGGGAGTCTCATAGGATCTGAATTCAGGACAGCTGAGACTATTGCTTTTCCCTCAGAGCACTTGCCTACCTGGTCTCTCACTTTGTCCCCAAAATGACCTGCTGCCAGTGATGTCCATAAACCTGATAGCATGGGGCAGAGACTGTCACACGGCATATGATTTACTTTGTATGAAGTTCAAGAATAGGCACAACTTGTGTGCTGTCAGAATCTCAGCTGCAGTCACCCTGGGGCCAGGGAGAGTTTAACTGATTCACATTTTAGTATCCCCCTTCCAGGGGTGCATGTCGGGAGCTGTCCGTGGTGCTGAAAGTCCTAGTACTGAGGTGTCCAAAATGGTAGCTAAGAGCCACATGGAGATATTAAAACGTGAATCAGTTAAACTTCAAATTACACATCTAGTTTCTCAGTCACACCACCTGTGTTTCTACTGTTCGGGAGCCACATGGAGCTGATGGCTGATGAATTGGACAGCACAGCTCCAGAACATTTCCATCCTCACAGAAAGTTCTAGAGCTTGATCTAGACAGTGGCTATGTAGGTGTGTGCATTGGTCAAAACTCATTGAACTGAGCACTCGTACCTCTATTAAAAATATATATTTTTGAAAGCACAAACTCAAGTCTGACTGTGTGGGTTCAGATCCCAACCCATCACTTGCTTCATATCTTTGATTTAACCTCTCTCTGGCCCCCTCTCCCTACCTGTATAACAGAGTGATGATAGTACTTCTTTTTCCTTGTGTTAGGGAACTTGGCCAGAATTGCACAGCAAGCCCCTGAGAAGTTTGCGCCCTGGGGATGGCATTGAGTTGCAACACACGCAGCTGCAGCTGCCCTCTGGGACTCGGCCTCGGCTCATGGATAGTTCCTGTTTTAGAGCAGGGGTCTGAGGCGCAGCCTCCAAGTATCAAATCATAGGACTGCTTTTTGTGGGACTCTGAGCTCAGTGACCCCCTGCCCAGCGTGGGAGCCAGGACGGGATGGAGGATGTAAAGGTGGTGTGGCTTCTGGCAGCAAGGACACCATGAGGTGTTCCTATGTAAGGTTTCACTTCACAAAGACTTTCTAAGACGTAATGCCATCCATTCTCCCAGGAGCCTGTCCTTTCTGTACCCAGGAAGAAATAGGCCCAGAGCAGGGCTATGGCCAGTTAGTGGCACACAGTGGACCTGTGGGTCCAGGGTTTCCTACTCCAGGTATTTGTCATCCTCTGGGTCACCCTGGATCCATGGTGGCTGTGTAGACCCCTTTACGAGAGTCCAGGTGGGCTGTCGCATCCCCAGACTAATCCTGGGGGGTGTGGGTCACCCCATCTGTCTGTGTGGACACAGCTTTCTCCGCAGGACTCACTATCCTGGCTGGTCAGGGGTGGGGACAAGAGTGGGAGTGCTTCCATGCAAAAGCTCAACTCAAGCATCTTACCCCTCGATGCCTCAATTTCCTTCCTGTAAAATGGGTCCGGTAGTGTTGACCCTAACTGTCCCTCACAGGGGCAGAGTGAGGATCAAGCATCATGACGGGCACATAGTAAATGTTGAGGGCTGTGGTTCTGCCAAGCCCTGGAGGGTAAGCAGGGGGAGCAGACCCAGGGTGAGGAGGGCAGGAGGAAACACCTGGGGGAGGGTCAGGGCCCCTGGGAAAGAGTCTAGTGGCTGGCGGGGGGAGGGGTGTGAGGTGAGGGGACTTTGGGGCTTGGGTCTCTGGGGCCTGAGGGCAGATCTGGCCTCCCTCACATCCCCTCCCCTCCCCCAGCTCTTCTTTCTCAGGGGAGCATCAAGGAAGACAAGCCCAAGGCCCAAGATACTGCATTCCCAGCAGATGCCTTACACGTGAGTTTCCAAAAGTGCCGGCAGTCTCAGCAGGCATACTCTTTCTATTTCTGTGATGCTTCTACGCCTCGCCACTGGAATGGAGCCACAGCCCCCAAGGAGCATGAGTCCTGGGGCAGGGCCCCTTCCTCTGCCCTGGCCACTCTTCCTCCTCTTCCTCTTCTTCCTTCTCCCTTCACTCAAGGGTGGGGCTTAGTGACCCTGTCAGTCTAGGGCACCTTGGAGGAAATCCCATGCCTGACCGATCTGGGACACAGGCTCTTTATGGTCACCCTGTTTATCAGCCAATATCGAGGGAAAGGACAGAGCAGGGCCTGGCGTATGAGTGGATGGTGGTACTGAGCAGCATTTAGAAAGGTGGTTGGGGGCTTTGGGTGTTAATGGTAAATGATTACTCTGAAATTGATGGTACCTGCTGACAGGCCCTTTCTTCGTGGGGTCCCCAAGGAGACAGACACACACAAGCAGAGGGATTGTTGCCACACTTACTGGTCCCAGAGCACATGTGGCTGGTGTTGCATGTCATCACATCCTCCAAGCCTCCCCTGCCCGGCCCTAAAGGGGATGCAGACCACGCAGGTATGACAGATGGCTTTGTTGGGGGCTGACGGGCCATCAGCTGTCTCTGGGGGCCATAAAGCTGAGTGCTTTGGAAGTGATGAGGAATCACTGTGTCTTAATCTGCTCAGGCTCCTATAGCAAAATACCATGAACTGTGGCTTAATCAACAAAATTATTCCTCACAGTTTTGGAGACTGGAAGTCCAAGATGAGGGTGCCAGCAGGGCTGGGTTCTGCTGAAAGGCTCCTCCTGGCCCGCCGATGGACGGCCTTCTCCCTGTGTCCTCACACACTGCGCCAGGAGATGAGAGCACACGTGCTTTGGTCTCTCCCTCTTTTTTTTTTTTTAAGATTTCATTTGTCAGAGCGAGAACACCTTAGCAGGGGAAGCAGCAGACAGAGGGAGAAGCAGGCTCCCGACTGAGCAAGGAGCCCGATGCGGGACTCGATCCCAGGACCCTGGGATCACGACCTGAGCCGAAGGCAGAGGCCTAACCAATGAGCCACCCGGGTGTCCCATGGTCTCTCCTTCTTCTTATGAGGGCATTGGTCCCATCTGGGGCCCCACCCTCATGACCTCATCTAAACCTAATCCCCCCAAAGGCCCCAGTTCTAAATACCTTCACACTGAGGGGTAAAGCTTTAACAGGAATTTGGAGAAGACACAATTATTCAGGTGGGACTGCAGTACCCAGTGTCAAGGTGATAATAGTGACACTCACAGTGTGAGCCACACCCCTCCCCTCATGACAATAGGGTGTTTCCCAGAACATTCACATCCTGCTGTTCCCCATGGGGCTGGCCCTGCTCAGAGAGGGCCCATGGCTGAGCCACTGCCTGGGGGATGTTTCAGAAGCCTGTGACATTTAAGGATGTGGCTGTAGACTTCACACGGGAGGAATGGGGCCTGCTGGGCCCCACACAGAGGATCCTATACCGTGACGTGATGCTGAGGAACTACAGCAACTTGGTGTCCCTGGGTGAGGCCTTCCTGTCACCTCTTCATCCATGTCCCGTGTGTGTGTGTTTCCATGTGTGCTCACACATACGTGTGCATATTTAATCCCATGTCTTGTCACCAGTAACCCACACCCAGGTATGTCCTTGCTCTGACCTGTGTCCCCCAGTTGGGTCCCCTCTGTACAGAGTGGACACCCCACCCCACATCACCAGAGAGAGACCTCTCCCGTGCCTGGGGCACACATACTGCACTATCGGGCCTGTTGGGGCCTGGCTCCCTGTGGCAACAGCGTCAACATTTCCCTCCTACTTTCTAACTATGGGCAGGACTTCCCGATTGCAAACCAGATGTGATCTCCAAGCTGGAGCAGTGGGAAGACCCCTGGACTGTGAAGAGAGATGTCCCAAGAGGTCCAGGTGAGTGAAGTAAGGGTCTGTCAGATCAGGTGTTTTATAAAATTAATTTTCCTCCCCCCAGCTTTTCTTGAGGTATAATTGACAGATAAAAATTGTATATATTTAAAGTGTACAACATGGTATTTTGATATACATATACATTATGAAATGATCACCACTATCAAGCTAATTTATATATCCATCAGCTCACATAGTTGCAGTATTTTTTCTGTGGTGAGAACGCTTACAATCAACTCCTGTAGGAAATTTGAGGTCTACAATACAGTATTGTAACTATAGTCACCATGCTTCAGATCTGTTTATTTCTGCTCCTGGGGCAAGGAGGAGCAATGTACATGAAACAGGGAAGAGCTAGTAGGTACAGGATCCTGAAAACAAACCTGACAGTCCTCCAGTGGTCACTTCCCCAGACCCGACAGCCACTAATCTGCCTTCTGTCTCCATGATTTGCCTGTTCTGACCTTTCATGTAAATGAAGTTTATATAAATATGTTCATTTATTTTGCATACGGATACAGGCATACAGATACAGGCATACTATATGTGGTCTTTTTGTGTCTGGCTTCTACTCTCTGGGAATAGTGCTCTATGAATACTCACGTGCAGGTTTTTGTTTGAGTATCTGTTTTCCATTCTGTTGACCAGGCCCTGTTGCAGTAAGGGCGTGGTTATAAAACAACCCCAGTGGCAGCTGATAGGTAGGGTGGCTCTTGGTGGCCTTGGCCCATGCCTTTCTGTGTTCCATTCTACTACTTTCCTTCCCCACTGTGCAGAGGAGGCTTGACAGCAGGTCTGTGGTCACATTCTTGGGAAGGCCTGGTGCAGGGTTGGCCTTTGGCTGGTGTCTGGGAACGTGGTTTGGGGGAGGAATCCCACCATTCCTTAAACGATTAGGAGTGGCTCACTGCACCTAAACCATTTGTACAAACAATGTGGTTTATACTAAATGTCTGCTTTTCTTCTGGGAGTCTGGAATTTTGGTACATGCTACACAGTGGGTGCATATGTGGCCAGCCCCCAGTAAAACCCTGGTCACTGAGTCTCTAACAAACTGTAGACTACACTTCATGTGTCAGAATCCGGCGCTGAAGGGGTTTGGTGCACGCTGTGTGGCTCCACTGGGAGAGGACTCTGCGCCCTGCGCCTTTTCCTTTTGTTCATTGTGCCTGGTGTCCATTTGCTCTCATCAGTCACAGCCGAGAGTATGACTCTTTGTTGAGTCCTTTTTTTTTTTTTTAAAGATTTTACTTATTTGACAGAGAGAGATAGCCAGAGAGGGAACACAAGCAGGGGGAGTGGGAGAGGGAGAAGCAGGCTTCCCGCGGAGCAGGGAGCCCCATGCGGGGCTGGACCCTGGTCCATTCACTCTTCTGTCCTCGCTGCAGGCCCCCCCCGAAAGCCGCAGGTCTGTGTTGTCCAGTCTGACTGCTGAGGTTCTGTCCATCCCCCTCAGATTGGCAGTGCACATTTAGGTTAGGGCTTTAGCATGTTTCTTTGCTTATTTTTCAGACTCAGAGCCTGGGCCCCGAGCTGCATGGCTGCCTCTAGAGAAGGGCGCTCTGCGTCAGGGGCAGATGACAGTAGGACTCACAGGGCAGGATTTCTGGCACACCATCCAGAAAGAAGTCACAGGACATGAAGGCCAGGTGGCAGACAGACAATGCCAAGCAGTGACACTCAGCCAGGGAAAGAAGAGCCCAGAGTGGAGCTTTGCAGGAACTTTCTCCTGGCACCCATTCCTCACTGAGCATCAGTGCAATCCTCCAAGGGCTCAAGCTCCCACAAGCCACGTTGGCAAAGAGGGCCTCACCTGCATTTCAGTCCTAGATCAGGGGCGCCCCTGCCAAGAAGAAAGAGTGTGTATGGAAGCCCTCAGCTCTTTTCCAGACCTTAGTCACCCACAAGGAGCTCACATCGAGGGGGACACATTGGTGTGTGGTGGGTGGGGAGATGCCTTTGGCAAGAACACATGCCTTGTGGGCTGTCAACAGATTCCCAATAAACGGAAGCCCTACACGTGCGAGGAGTGTGGGAAGGCCTTTGGACAGAGCACACATCTCGTTCAACACCAGAGAACCCACACTGGTGAGAAGCCGTACACGTGCCAGGAGTGTGGACGGGCCTTCAGCAAGAACTCGTCCCTGGTTAAGCACCAGCGCATCCACACAGGTGAGAAGCCCTATGCGTGCAGCCACTGCAGCAAGCACTTCCGAGAGAACTCCTCCCTGGCCAAACACCAGCGAGTGCACACGGGCGAGAAGCCGTACACCTGTGGTGAGTGTGGGCGCGCCTTCAGCCAGAGCACTCACCTCGTGCAGCACCAGCGGATCCACACTGGGGAGAAGCCGTTCGCCTGTTGTGAGTGTGGCAGAGCCTTTGCTGACTCCTCAGCCCTCCTGGTCCACCATAGAACCCACACAGGAGAGAGGCCTTACGAGTGCCGCACGTGCTGCAAGGCGTTCAGCCTCAGCTCATCGCTGGCCGAGCACAAACGCTGCCACACAGGAGAGAAGCCATACGCATGCCGGGAATGTGGGAAAGCCTTCAGCCAGAGCTCATCCCTCAGCAAGCACCTGAGGACACACACGGGTGAGAAGCCGTACACATGCGGGGACTGTGGCCATGCTTTCAGCCAGAGTTCCTCCCTGGCCAAACACCAGCGGGTGCACACTGGCGAGCGGCCTTACGTGTGTAGAGAATGCGGAAAGACCTTCAGCCAGGGCTCCTACCTGACCCAGCACCTCAAGATCCACAGCGGCGAGAAGCCATTCATATGCAGTGAGTGCAGGAAACCCTTCGGCGATTCTTCAGCCCTAGTCCTGCACCAACGGGTGCACACGGGTGAGCGACCCTACATGTGTGGAAAATGCGGGAAGACCTTCAGCCAGAGCAAGTTCCTCACCCAGCACGAGAGGATACACACTGGGGAGAAGCCCTTTGTGTGTGGTGACTGTGGAAGGGCCTTCCTGCAGAGCTCCTCCCTCACCCTCCACCTCAGGACACACACTGGGGAGAAGCCTTACAAGTGCAACGAGTGCGGCAAGGCTTACATCCAGATGTCGCACCTCACTGAGCATTACCGGGTGCACACAGGGGAGCGGCCCTACGTGTGCAATGTGTGCAGCAAAGCCTTCAGCCGCGGCACACACCTCATGCAGCACCAGCGTGTCCACACGGGCGCCAAGCCCTTCATATGCAGCCTGTGCCGGAAAACCTTCTGCGAGGCTGCAGCCCTCATTCTGCATCAGAGGGTTCACGCTGGACAGAAGCCCTTTGAGTGTCACAAATGTGAGAAAAACTTCAGCCAGAGCAGATCTCTGGTCCAGCATCGGAAAATTCATTCCCAGGGGACACCATGAGTGCAGCGAGTATCAGAAAACCCTCAGCAGCTGTTTGGTTCTCATCCATCCGTGAACTGGGGGTGTGCCAAACATGGCAGAGACCTGGCTGTCCTTCATCCGGCGGAGGGTCCTGTGAGTGTCAGGAACTCAGGGCCAGTGCAGAGCAGCCCCCTTGCCCATGATACACTTCTCTCTGCAGGGTCACCCGGTTGAGTGAGCCTTCAAGGGGAGCAACAGCCCCTCTCATTTTCCATCATATGGGTTCCCACAGATACCCACCAGGTGGTAGGAGAGATCCACAGGTGTGGGCGGTCTTCTTGGCAGGCCTGAACAGAGCTCATTTCAGTTTTTGCCAAGGCAAAAATGAAATTAAAAAAAAAAAAGGTAAAAAGATGCTTTTTCGGGGCACCTGGGTAGCTCAGTCAGTTGAGCGTCCAGTTCTCTGTTTTGGCTCAGGTCATGATCTCAGGGTTCTGGGAATGAGCCCTGCAGCAGGGAGTCTGCTTCCCTCTCTCTGTCTCCCTCTGCCCCCACCCCCTGCTCGTGCACTCTCTCTAAAATGGGTAAATAAATCTTTAAAAAATAAAAAAAGATCTTTCCAGTTGTTTGTGCCTTGTATTAACTCAAGCCTTATGGTTTTTGTTTTGTTCCTCTGCCAGAAAGTAAGGTTAATAATGCCGAACTGTGGTGTGTCACAAAGTCGCTCTTACTTTGTTTGAGAGAGAGAGCACAAGCAGGGGGAGTGGGAGAGGGAGAAGCAGGCCTCCCGCCGAGCAGGGAACCCGATGCGGGGCTCGATCCCAGGACCCTGGGATCATGACCTGAGCTGAAGGCAGACGCTTAACCATTTGAGCCACCCAGGTGTCCCCAGTCGCAGTCTTTAAAAAAGACTTTGTATGTCATTCATCGGCTTTGGCGTGAGGATTCGTTAGAATCGGTTGAGCCAGTGATTCATGTAAGACCTTAGCACTTTGTAAGCACTTACACACATGGTTCTATTTCATCCTCTCAGCACCCCCCGGGATGCAGATATTTTTATCCCCACTTCATAGACAAGGAGTTGACTTTTTTTTTTTTTAAAGGCCTACTTATTTGAGGGGGGAAGGGGTAGAAGAGAGAGAATCCCAAGCCGACTTTGTGCTGATCATGGAGCCTGACGCAGGGCCCGATCTTACAACCCTGAGACCATGACCTGAGCTGAGACCGAGAGACGCTTAACCGACTGAGCCACCCAGGTGTCCCAAGGAGCTGAGATTTTGAGAGGTTAAGCCACTTGCCTGAGGCCCCCAGCTAGAAGCCATTCACTTTTCAGGATAAAAATACTAGAGTTAGCAGATGGAGACAGGGTGGCAACAGTCCCTCCATCCCTTTCAGCATATGCAAGGGGTATTTACTGTAAGGAGGCAGCTCTAGAATTTAATGTTCTTCTGAGACTGGGAGATGGTGGGATGATTGGGTCATGCTGAAGAAGCAGACTGAGCCATCTGGCGGACTTAGGCAAAGGCAAAAAGTAGGAGCTGGGAAGCCATTGCTCAATCTAGATGTTGCTTACGTGCCTAGTGGAGCCATTCCTTTGTTCCATCACAGGTGTGAGCCTTTCACTTTCCCGCACAGCTTCACTCGGGTTCTCTGGCGCCATCAGGATGTGGTCTGGCCTTGAAGCCCCTGCATTCACCCAGCATAGCGCATCTTTCCAGTCATCCCTGTGTTGTCCAGGCCCAGCTTGTTGGTCTCCTGTCAGCATCAGCTCCAGGGCACCTCCTCACTGGCTGAATCAGAAGCAGCCTGTCTTCCCCGCGTGTCCCCCATGGCAGTATGAACATTGTGGTGTCATTGTCCATGTCCTCGTTCAGAGCCCACTCTGGACCCAGGGCCCCTTTAGCACACACCTGTCTCGTGCCTCTGTAGACCCATCCCCTGGCATATGGCAGGGCCAAAACTGAGAGGGAACGAGTGAGTGAACCAGTGAGACGCTGAATACAGAATGACTGCAAGGGAGTCCCCAAGACCACCTTCAGGCTCAGTGACTCACTAGGACTCCTACAACTCAGAACAGGCTGAGGGTTTATTACAGTGAAAAGGATACAAATGATCACCACAGAAGTAGAAGGCAGATAAGCTGGAATCCAGGTACAAGCTTCCACTTGCCCTCTCAGTGTAGTCATACAGACTCCGTAGTACTCCCCACTGGGAGCGACAGTACACATGGAGTATGGGCAGCCAGGGAAGGTGACCCAAGCCTGGTGGCATTTACTGGGGATTGGCCACATGGATGTGGGGTGCCTGCATGCCTGACCTTAGTTCCTGAGCCTCCAGCTGTCTCAGAGATAAGCCTGATACAGTGTGACTCAGGGTCCCCATCATAAATCATGCAGACTATCTCGCATAGCCTAAGGCCCCCCATAAGGAAAGACACTCTTATCAGGCACGATATTCCAAGGGCTTAGCGGTTCTCTCAGGAGCCAATCCCAAGGGCCAATCCATTCTTTACAACATGCAGTTTGGACACCCCAGGTCTACTGAGTTCTACTGTTTGCTGCACAATGACCCAGCACAGCTGGTGACCAGTGATGCCTCCTCACCCAGCCAAGTGCTACAGCTACTACTGCGGCACCAGAGAGAGAAGAGGCATCAGCCAACTGGAGGCAGTCTGGGTTGGGATGATGAGGATTCTCCCAGAGGCAGAGACAGCTTGGTTTTGTAGGGACAAGACTGTCTCAGGGGCTGCACCTTCAGGAGTGCGTCCCACGTGAGCCACAGGGACCAGGCTGCGAGGCAGGAAGAACTGGGCAGCTGGTGAGTCTCTGAGGCACCACACGGCACAGACGGGGCAGGCTTGCCACAGGCCACCCACTCAGCCTCTGTAAAAACAGGGACCGTGTCTTGGCAGCAAGATGGAGAGATGAGGGAGGGATGTGACAGTGCCAGCCCTCAACATAGTTTGCTTCCATCCTGCAGGGTGGTCGGGCCCAAGAACCAGCTAAATCCAGCTCCATGGGTTTGAAGTCCGGCACTACCCAAATGCGCTCTGGGTCTTTACGCTCTGCCTCATGTTCCTTGTCTGTAAATTGGGGATAGTGACCCCCTCCCCGCAAGGACTTAACATGTTAACTTGAAGAGGAAAAAGTACGTCCAGTGTGAGTGTTGTTCCACCAGGAAGCAGTTTCCGCCAGAGGCAGGTCAGTGATGGTCATCGACTGGCTGCGGTTGGGCAATGAGAAGGAAGTGCAGCCAACAGCTAGCATGAATGGCCCTGCAGGAGCCTGGCTGGCCGGGGGGAGGGGCGGCACTTGTAGGGGCACAGGCTTGCAGATGGGAAACCCCCGAGCTTTTCTGGCATCTGATGATCAGGGTGGAGGCTGGCACAGGACCACACAGGAGTACGACGTAACCACAGAAGGCCCTGAGGCGATTCATTCTTCCCATAAGGCCAGACAGCCTCCAGGTTCTTTGCCCATTCCTATTGATGGCTCAAACGTGTGTGTCTCCTACCAAACATCTGTCTGCAAAGAGCTGTCTAGACACTGTGCAGAGGGCAGGGGAGCTGTGGGCACCGGCTGCAGGAGGCAGAGGCTGGGCATCCAGGCCCAGCCAGACCATCCTGGGGCAGGAGGCAAGGGGGAGTCCATGGGGCCTCAAGGCTCTCGCTTACCCCTTGGGTGGTGTGCATCTGCCCTTGAACACACCCTCGCGAAACATCGCATGCTCGCACACTGACAAAACACTCTCTCTCTGACCAAACTTCAGTCAGGCTCTTCTGAACAGTTTTTGATGAGGCTCCTGTGGCCTTCATTAGAGTCTAGCCAAGTCAGTTTAGTAAGACTCTCCCACCCTCCAAATCTATCTGCTTGGGTTCCTCATCCTCCCCCTCCCCCCAGTGATGTCTGACCATCCTGGCCTGCCTTCAGCGAGAATCCTGTTAGACACCCCCTTACCCCTGAGAGGAGGGGCAGAGGCAGAGGGAGAAGCAGGCTCCCCGCGGAGCCGGGAGCCCGATGCGGGGCTCGATGCGGGGCTCGATCCCAGGACCCTGGGACCATGACCTGAGCCGAAGGCAGACGCTTAACGACTGAGCCACCCAGGCGCCCTGAGGTGAGAGTTTCTTAACTCCACTTCTCCATGTTACAAAGTCAGGTTTATTATCTCCATGCTGTGGAGAAAGTAGAGACCCAGAGATGTAAAATCACCTGCCTGAGCAGGAGAGAGTAAGAAGCACAACTGGGAATTGAGATCAGCTAGGTCCCTCTCTGTAGCCTGTACCTCCTATTGCATCACCCTGCTCCTTAGCCAGTGGTTCTCAGCCTTGCCTACACTTGAGAATTTCCTGGATAAAAATCTGGATGCCCAAGCCAAACCGCAAACCGGTGAAATGTGGATCTGTGGTAGACAGAGTAATGCCTTCTCCCCCACTCTAATCCCCAGAACCTGTGCCTATGGTACATGACAGAAGAGAATTTGCAGATGGGGAAGAGTATCCTGGGTCACCAGGTGGATACAATGTCATCACAAGATCCTTCTAAGTGAAAGAGAGAGGCAAAGAGGGTCAGTCAGAGAAGGAAATAAGACGACAGTGAAGCAGACATGAAACAAGGAAAGTGGAGGAGGCAAGGAAATAGGTTTTCACCTGGAGCCTCTAGAAGGAACTGGCCCTGCCACCAGGGCGATTTTAGCCCCATGAGACCCATTTTGGACTTCTGACCTCCAGAAATGTAAGGTAATAGATTTTTGTTCTTATAAGCTACTATGTTTGTGGTAATTTGTTAGAGCAACAACAGGAAACCAATACAGCCTCTCTAGACACAAACCAGACCAGTGGAGCAGAGCCAATTGTACCTGGGTGGGGAAAAAAAACCAGGGATGATGGTTCATAGAGGTGATAAAATAGAAACCAGGAAAAATGTGGGGCTCTCTTCACTGGCAGGTGGATGGAAAGGCAAGTTCTGCTTGGAGGCAGGGAGGCAGTGATGTGAAGCTGGGCTGGGCAGAGAAGGCAGGGCTGAGAGCTGGAAAACGGGAGCCCCCAGAGATAACGCCTTCGGTGGTGCAGGAAGAGATGGTCACAGCAGAGTTGCGAAACTGGACTGACACTGCCCAGAGTGCCTGGTGCACAAAAGGGGCCCAATAAAGATGTGGTCTGTTGTTAGGATTATTGTGGGTGAGCATCTTGGGGTTGTTCCTCTGACAACAAAAGGCAGAAAACCACAAGGAGAGGCCAAGAAGACCCAAGGAGATGAGGGCAACCAGTGCCACCCACAGGCCAAAGCCCAGTTCAGTGCTTGACAGGTGGGATGGGTCTTGGCCAGGGGGGCGGGGGGGTCGGAGCAAAGGGTTCCTTGGATTAGGACCCCTGTGGTGTGTCTACCGGTGGTCAGAAAACACGAAGGGGCCGTTTACACAAAATAGCAAAGCAGGCAAATCCATGGAGGCAGAAAACAGATTAATGGCTGTCGGAAGCTGGGGGTAGGGGGAATAGGGAGTGACTGCTCGTGGGTATGGGGTTTGTTTTTGGAGTGATAAAAACCTTCTGGAATCAGACGGTGGTGATCTTTGCACAACCTTGTGAATATAATAAAAAGTGAACTGTACACTTTAAAAGGGTGAACTTAAGGTATGTGAACTATAGCTTAAAAAGAAAAGAGTTAATTTTTAAAGGGGAAGGAATATGGAAAGATGACCAGGTAAAGGGGCAAACTCTGGCAACAGGGAGGGAAGCAATGAGAGTCTGTGGGGTGTAAGATGAGGGAGGTTGAGATGCCTCAGGCCTTCAGGACGATGGGAGGTAACGGGGGACGTGGAGAGAGTGTGGCCACCGGGGCTAGTCCCTGGTTTGGAGCTTCCGGTGCTGGAGCAGGTATGAACTGTAGCAGAAGGCCTTGTCACACTCACTGCACGTGTAGGGCCTCCCTCCCGTGTGGATCCACTGGTGCTGGCTAAAGTCCGCAGTGCCCTTGAAGGCTTTGCTGCAGTCCAAGTACTCTCAGGGCTTCTCATCTGTGTGGATCTTGTGATGCTCAATGAATGTGGAACTCTGCCCAAAGGCCGTGCCACACTCAATGCACTCATATGGCTTCTCGCCGCTGTGTGTCCTCTGATGGTGGATCAGGGTGAGCTCCACCTGCAGGCTTTCCCAGGATCCCCACACTGGTAGGGCTTCTCCCCTGTGTGAATCTTGTGTTCTGCAGATCTGAGCTCCCTGGGAAGGCTTTGCCACACTACCTGCATTTGTACCACTTCCCTCCGGTGTGGGGCCTCTGGTGTACTTTTTAGTATACTATACCAGAAAAGGAAGACTTTTCTACACTCATGGCATTCATAGGGTTTTGCTTCAGTATGGATCCTCTGGTGATCAATGAGGTTAGACTGGCACCGAAAGACTTTCCCACAGGTGCTACATGGATAGGGGTTTTCCCCAGCGTGAGTCTTCTCATGCACAGAGAGAGCCAAGTGCTGCTTGAAACTCTTCTCACACAGGCGCACCTGCAGGGTTTCCTGTCCACACAGGCTGCCTACAACACCGCTGGCTCTGGAACCTGCTCAAAGCTTCCTCCATGTGCGACTAACATGTGTGGTTTCTTTTCCACAGCAATGCTCTCTTGTCTTATGGGGCCGGAAGACAACTTTACTGCCTGAAACCTCTCCCCACACTAGGAGTTTCCATGTTGGGGAATGACCTTTGCTTAAAATCTTGCCTGAAAAAGGATCCTCAGTAGGATCTCTGTTCTGGTTTCCTGAGTAGGCCTCAGGAGTGTCAATGTCTTTGAAGGCAGAACCCCATAAAATCTCTTTTCTGATGACCTCCTTTATTACCCCCATAAGGAACTGCAGCAGGTCTTTGAATATGCTCTGTGGTCACCTTCCTTGATCTGAAAGAAACCAAGATCACAGATGTTAACTTTGTTGACTTTCTAAACAGAAAAGAAACCAAAAGGATTGATGAAGTGGATGGAATTACTAGAGCAATTTTTCACCCCTCCTTGTGTACATACCTTTGGCCATATATGTCGTTCCTTTCACCAAAGGCCGCATGGATACCTCTTCTTGACTTTGGGTGTGGCCATGTGACTTGCTTTCTAGAATCTCAATAGAATCTGAGTGGAACTGCTAGTATGTTAGTTCTGAGCCTAGGCCTCAAGCCTGCAGGCATCTCTGCCATCACCATGGGACAAATTTGCCCTGTGAGCCCTATAAGACAAGTGCAGCAGAAATGGACCCAACCACCCCCCCCCCCGCCAAAGAAAAAGAAAAGAAATGGACCCAACCTATAGCCTGGAGCCAAGCCCAGACCAGATTAGCCAATTCTTAGACTCAGGAGAGAAATAAGTGCTTACTGCTCTCAGTCACTGAACTGTTGTAACTAACTATTCGTTACAGAGCAATAACTGACTGATATAACTGCCAAATTAAAGTGAATACTCTCTGGGGGCGCCTGGGTGGCTCAGTCGGTTAAGCGTCTGCTTTCGGCTCAGGTCATGATCCCAGGGTCCTGGGATCGAGCCCCGCATCCGGCTCCTCCCCTCCTTCTCCCTCTCCCACTCCCCCTGCTTGTGTTCCCTCTCTCGCTGTTTCTCTGTCAAATAAATAAATAAAATATTTTAAAAAGAATGAATACTCTCTGAAAAAGATGGGGTTTGAATTCTGGGGAGAGGATGAGAAAGAGACAGAGGCAGAGAGGAAGAGAGGAGAGTCTAGTCAGGAAAACCCAGAGGCCTAGAGCACTGGTCCAATAATCAGAGAATAAGCATAAAAGGTGTCTCTGAAAGTCTGGGGTATGTGTGGAAGGGCCATGGTGGGTATGGAAAGTAAGTGGGAATCCAGTTAAGCAGCTTCAAGCAAGGGAACATTGTCAGTCTGCCATTCATTCATTCATTCATTCAACTCTTCTTGGGGCTCCGACCTGTGCTAAGCACCAAGGATGCCCTGGCCTCAGGTCATAGAAAGGGCAGGACTCCTCTCAGCTCTAAAAGCACAGACTCCCAATCTGGACAGAGAGGAAGGCCCTGAGGAAAGCTTCCATCGACTTTCCAGGTCACCCACACCTACTGTCAATCCAGGCTCGTTACTCCCTGGCACCTGGGTCTCCTCTGGCTGTTGCCCTCTCTCCCCTCTCCTCAGAAGCCTCCCAAAAAGTCCCACACTCATAACAATGCCCCTTCATCCCATTATGGGCTGAACTGTGTCCCGCCCAAATTCACACGTTAACATCATAACCTAACCCCCAGTATGTCCCAGAATGTGACTGTGTTTGGAGATAGGACCTTTAAAGAGATAATTAACATTAGAGGAAGTCATATGGGGCCCTAATCCAGTGACTGGGAGGGAGAGACACCAGGGGTATGCTAATGAGGAAAGGCCACATGAGGACAGAGCAAGAATGTGGCCATCCACAAGCCAGGGAGAGAAGCCTCAGGAGAAGCCAACCCTGCCAACACTCTGATCCTGGACTTCCAGCTTCCAGAACTGTGAGAAAATAAATGTCTATTGCTTAAGCCCCCCAGGCTGTGGTATTTGGTTATGGCAGCTGCAGCAAACTAATACACTCTCAGGCCCCTGAGCCAGCCCTGCTCTCCCCTTGGATGCTGCACTCCAACCCATCAACCCTGTCTGCCCCGTCTTCAAAACAGACCTGTATCTGACCACTTACCAACACCCCCACCTCCACCACCTGATCTGACCTCCCCGGGGTTCCAGCAGCATTCACCTCCCAGGTCTCTCTGCCTCTACCCTCACCCCAAGAGTCTTCCTGTGACAGCCACAGGAACCCTACAAAGAGCTAAGCCACAGCCCAGCCCTCCGCCCAAAGGCTCCCCATGGCTCCCACCTCTCTCAGGGTAGACATCAAAGTCCACACGTGGCCCATAAGCCCTGCACCATCTACCCCATGGGCCTCCCCATTCTGTCCCTACCCTTTGCTGTCTCCTTCCTCAACCCACTGCAGCTGGGCCTCCTTGCCTGTACCCACCTCGGGGTCTTGGGATTGGCATTCCATCTACTGAAACATTCTCTCTGTCCCTCCCCTCTATTCAGGATCGGTTGAGATGCCAACTCCTCAGAAACAGGTTTTTGTTTCTTTGATTACTGTCTGCCTTCCCAACAACACCAGCTCCACAGAGGCGGGCGGTGCCCGTCGTGCTCGCTGCAGTGTCCCATCTGGAATGGCACTGGCCCTTACTGCTCGGCATGGGACTGGGGAAGGCAGAAGGGGCTCACTCTGGCTGCAGGCAAAGGTCTGATGAGCTGAAGGAGACCCCACAGGCTGGGGTCAATAAGCATGGGCGAGGCCAACCTCAAAGCCTCACCTGCACACAGGCTGGGCCACTGTCCTGGGCCCCCGGCTGGAGTCTTCTGCTTCAACTCTCACACACCCACATGCACATACAGAGGACATATTCTCACACAGTCACACATCCAGGCATCCGCACTATCACACAGTCACATCCATGATCACAGCCACAGTCACTGCAGCAACATACAGCAATCATACCCAGTCTGGGGCCTTCCTGCTGTTCTCAGGCCTTCCTGGGCAGCACCAGCAGACGCCATCACACGGTGCGACAGCCACACAGTGCTGCAGGATTGTCGCGTATGGTGACTAGCAGACACACACACACACACTCGCGCACACGATACCCACACACGTGGTCGGAGAATGACACACTCAGCCTAGCCTCCGGCGCACCTACAGTCATGCAGGACAAACAGGTGGGATCCCCTGTAAATAGTCACGAAAAGCAACACACACGACACACGATGCACGCCCCCACGCACCGTGCACGGTCCCGCCGCGCGCACAGCCCCGGGCCCAACTCTCCGCTCACGTCCGCCGCGACCCCACCATGGGCCAGCCTTCCGCTCCCTGCCCGCCCAGACTACAACTCCCGGCGTGCCCCGAGGGTGCGCAGGAGGCGGCCCGCGGCCTTCTGGGGACTAGGATATCCAGGGGGACGGCGGGGCCGCGCGCGCGCTGTGAGCGCGGGAGCGGAGGCCCCGGTGAGCGCGCGCGCGCCCGTTGGACAGCGTGGCGCATTCTGGGAGTCGTGGTCCCGGCGAGCCGGCGCCTCCGAGGGAGCTCCCGGAAGTGGCCGGCGCCGCGCGGGTCAGGTGGGTCTGGGTGCGGTCCGCGGGGCTCGCGGCCGGAGGGGAGCGCTCAGGCCCCTCTCTCGGGCGGCCCGTGCCAGGCGTGCGGGACTGAGGCGCTGGCCACGAGCGGCGCGACTGGAGGGCCGACTGGCGGGCGCCCAGGCCGGCTGTGGAGCTCCCTGATCGAATGTGGGGCCGGCTGACTGGGGTGCCGCCTGAGAGAGCGCTTCAGCGGCGGCCGCATGGCGGGGCTGCGTTTCTCACTGACAGCCGGCTGTGCTGTGTG